AAAAGAAAAAAAAAAAAAAAAATTATAAAAAAAAACAAATTAAGATTGTAAAAAAAAAATAATGTGTAAAAAAAATTAATAAAAAAACACAACCCCTCCCTCCCCCCACACACATAACATACACGTGCACCATATTGTGGTGTACGCCATGCACATGCGCTGCAGTGCGTTGTTGCGTGCGTTGTTAGAACGCATTGCAGTGCATGATTTTTTTTTCTTAAAAAAAACCCATTCATTTAACTGTGGCAGCGCATAGCAAAGCTTTGTGACGCATTGCCGTGCGTTGTGATACCTTGTGTTGTAATTAAATATACGCCTGTATCATTTTATCTCAACACAAACACCAACACAGCGTAAAAATAATTTTTAACATAAGTCGCTTATTTACAGTTTTGCGTACCTTCATTGTTTTACCTTTTCGCAAAAAGGCGCAATTTCAAATTTGCAAATATTTGTTATTTATTAACTCAATAAAGTTTTATCTTTTAGATTTAGTCAGAATTTTTTTTTTTTTGTGCGCTGATACTGATTTTAGTGTGTTTTATCAATTGAATTGTGTATTTTTATCGGTTTGACATTAATGTGAGAGTTTGCGCAATTATCGCACGGCCTACAAATTTAGTATCACCATCTTTTTATTCTACCGGGCCTGCGCTTTCAGAAAATATATGGTTTGGGGGGTCTTTTACAAAACGCTAGCAACGCAGAAGTTTAAAATCAAATCAATGGGAAACATTGCAAAAATGGCGTGGCCAGCTGAGTTGCAAAATGTTCCGGAGGGCTTGGCAGCGAAAGGGTTAAAAGGCGAGTCATTTGTCAGGCAGCCTTGAAATCCAGCCACCCTGCCGCACTGTATAGCCAAGTCCCTGATCTCCCTTTTCTCTTATAGTGTTAAGAAATACAGTTTAGTTAAAGGAGAACTATGGGGTTAAGTCTTTTCCCCATAGTTCTCCTTAGGGTAACGGGAGGACACAAACTAGCGTCCTCCCGTCACCCTAGGCTCAGTATACTGCTCGCGGTATACTGAGACGCTGCAGCTGAAGCGGATCCCGACAATTGTGTCGGGATCCGCCTAGCTGCGTGACTGACAGCTGGCTCTGCCTATCTAGAGGCAGAGCCAGCTATACCCGCCCCCTCCCCCGTCCGTTCCGCCAGTCAGTCCTGGCGGATTGGAGGGGGGAATCCAGCCCCTCCCCTGTCACAGCAGAGAGCCGTGACAGGATCGAGAGGTGAGTGAACGCCGGTATGTTTTCGCTCACCTCCTGATCTACTGAGCCGACCTGTGACAGTCTCATTGTCACAGGTCAGCTAGAACTATGAGGTGAGTGAAAAGCACTCACCTCATAGTTCTCCTTTAAGGCAGACAGTGCACGGTCCTCTTATAATGTTCAGGACCCATCCTGCTGTAAATGGCTTCTGCTAAAATAGATGCAAAGGGTACCTGTAAGGAAAAATGTTAGATTACATACTTGCCTTACCCCTGGCTTACATATTGATGGGCGCGACGCTCCTATTCTGGGAAAATTGGAAATACATGTAACATACATATTGGTTATCTGACACAACATCCCGGGACTTCTATTCAAAGCCCCAGAAAGGACAGTTGCATAGGATTTTGCAGTTTATTTCCCTGGAGTTCTTCTTCTATAAATTCATTGTAACGTGCAGGGCTGGCGAGTATCTTTCTAATTGCAGTCTTTGTATTACAGTGCTCTTGCTCTTCGTATCCTCAATGACCAGTTGATGTTCACAGAGAGAGCTTTCACTGATCCCCTCGGCCTACCAGGACGACCATTTTACAGGTACAGAAAAAATATTCTTCATTATGTTGAGTTTATGTAGCCACTGTGCCCAACCTGTTCATTCTCTTTGGGTAGTTCACAATTTGGCAAGCCCCCTTCCTCAGAGCCCCCCAGTAATGCAGTCAGCTCGCTTACATGATTCAGGGGCAAGCCCCCTTCCTCAGAGCTCCCCAGTAACGCAGTCAGCTGGCTTACATGATTCAGGGGCAAGCTCCCTTCCTCAGAGACCCCAGTAACGCAGTCAGCTCGCTTACATGATTCAGGGGCAAGCTCCCTTCCTCAGAGCCCCCAGTAATGCAGTCAGCTGGCTTACATGATTCAGGGGCAAGCTCCCTTCCTCAGAGTCCCCAGTAATTCAGTCAGCTGGCTTACATGATTCAGGGGCAAGCTCCCTTCCTCAGAGCCCCCCAGTAATGCAGTCAGCTCCCTTACATGATTCAGGGGCAAGCCCCCTTCCTCAGAGACCCCAATAATGCAGTCAGCTAACTTGTACGTTTCAAGGGCAAGGTCCCTTCCTCAGAACCTCTAGTAATGCAGTCAGCAATCTTATGCGTTTCAGGGGCAAGCCCCTGTCCTTTGGGTGCACAAATATGCACAACAAATGCTCAAAACACACACAGTTAAAAAATGTGAGTGGCTCAAAAGGTACATGAGCTTCTTTGCCATGTTTGTCATACATAGGGCAGACAATAGAAATGAATGGGCTACCCTGTGCAACACACACACCTGTATACTTTGTACTACCGTAGGGATGCACCGATACTCAGTGTTCGGGCAAGTACTCGTACTCGCCCAAATGCTCCAATACTTACCTCCGATACCGGAACTTCTGGTCAGAGGGAGATCTGGCTTCCCTTGTTGCTAGGCAGCCTGGCTTCCTGACCAATAAGGAAGCCGGACGGCACCTCATGACTCCCCGCCCGGCTTCCTCATTGGTCAGGTAGCCTCTGAAGCCGGTGTTCTGTCGCTAGAACACCGGCTTCCCTGGCAATCAGGAAGCCGGGCGACAGGTTATGATCCGCCGCCCGACTTCCTGTTAATCAGGGCACAATGCACCGGTATCTGTACAAGATATCGGAAAAAAAATCATTTTATACTGATAAAAACGGTGCATCCCTACTTTGTACGTACATTGGCACGGAATGAATGTACATGCAGTTTTGCAGGATGAATGGCTGTGCGAATTGTTTATATATATTTATATATACACAC